ATCTCGATCCGCCTTCGCTCGAACACGTGAGTAAAGCATCTAGTCTGGTTCGCGCATAAGGCGCATTTCCAAAAGTGGGATTGAGCGCTGAGAGAGAGAGAGAGAGAGAGAGAGAGAGAGAGAGAGAGAGGGGAGCATCCACTGACAACACCGTCGACTCCATATCTCGCTGAGAAACCGTGAATGTCTTTCCCAGTCGAAGACCAACCACTGTGAAGGCTGGTCGAATCCTTTGTTGAGGGGCGTGTTTCCGCTCGGGGGCCGTGGGTTCTTTGTGCTTCCCAGCTTGATTAACTGTGGACTCTGTCTAGAGGGAAAACTGAAGCAAGGCTGAAGGGGGTAAGGAGGGGTATGGTCTGCAGTTTGCTCGAGACTTGTGAAACGCTGTACCTGTGCTAAAAGGACCAATTCTGAGCAATGTTTGTTTTCCTCTTCTTTTATTTTCTTTTCATACTCTGAAGTTTGAGGTATCCTGCGCCTGCGGTAAGACACCAGAGACAGAATATGACAACGGAGGAGCCAGAGTGAGGATAGTCGACCGGGGTTGAGCCGAGCAGTGAGCTTGCTGACGGATTGGAGAGCGAGCGTGGGGGAATGAGAGGTGGTCTCCACTGAAGGCAGAGAGGGGTAGCCACAGGGGACAAAAAGAGGTAGCCCCCCCCGCGCGACAACGTGACACAACTGCCTGAGCCCCAAATACGAAATTGACAGCATTCGGCCTCTCGTGATTTGTTTGGCGTGCCTTCACTTAGGGCGGGCACACTTGCATAAGGAGCCCCTTAGGCCTGCCGAGGAGCCACATCCTCGCAAAAGTTTTTGTTTGTATTTTTGAAAATGTAAATTCACAGAAACAAAACACGTCTGGCAACTCCCCTTCAACAGATAATGATGGCTCAGCCTGTGCAATTCTTTTCTTCTTTTTTTCCTTTTTTTCGCTTTTTTTTCCTTTTTTATTTTTTCCCCCCTATTTTTTCCTTAAAAAAAAGGCAAACAAACAAACTTTATCATTATAGGCCGGGAAACGGGCTCGGCGTCCCTCACATACATACCGTGACCTAACCCAGCGGCCCAGCCCGGTTTGTTCAGGCTGTGCAATTCTCTCGTTCGAGTTTGCACCTGGAGAGTCGTTTGCGGCCAAAATGAAAAAGCAAGAACATGCTGGCTACGTAGCACCGTGTTCGCACGCGAACATACCGTGACCTAACCCAGCGGCCCAGCCCGGTTTGCTCAGGCTGTGCAATTCTCTCGTTCAAATTTCCACCTGGAGAGTCCTTTGCCGCCAAAATGAAAAGGCAAGAAGGAGTCCTTTGCCGCCAAAATGAAAAGGCAAGAAGATGCTGGCTACGTAGCACCGTGTTCGTGTTCGGAGGAGAACGCGAACATGTTCACCCGAACGCGAACAAGCGCCCGAAACCCTCCGAACGCGAACATAAAAAATATTTTTAAAAAAAAAAGGTTCTCAGAAATATCTGAAAAAAAATATATGTAAAATAACAATACAAGCAACTTTTGCATTGGAGTCGTGTTCAAATTCGTAGCCAATCACGAGTTAAAACTTAAAAATAAAAAAAACAAAACAACAATTTTTTATTTTACATTTTTTACGGAAAAAATAATATGTTCGCCCGAACATGTTCGGGAGCTGTTTGCGCGAACATGAAGGGGCACGAACACGTTCGCCGTGCTACGCAGCATGTTGGGAAGGAAATTTATTGTTTTAGACAGAGAAGAAGAAATCTAGCGAATGATTTTTTTTTTTTTTTTTTTTTTTTTTTTTCAAGGGGATGGCCTTGGGATATCACCATTGACCTGACGAGCCCCAGGTAATTCAGAATTGCTTCTGTTCATTTGATTGCACCTGGATTCCGACTGGGTGAAAGGCCTTCCATGATTCAGACCCCAAATTCGAGTTCCAGTGTCAGAGGCTTGGGCCAAGAAAGGTCGAGTCCGTTAGTTTCAGAAAAGTCACAGTCGGGTACCTTAGCAGTCAAGTCCAACAGGCACCCGGCAAACAGTCGCATCCTAGGGGCAAAATCACGTCTCATAATGAAGAGTCATATTGGAAAGTCACATCCCATGAGCAAAAGGGCAATTCCACAGGCAAGCGTCCTGTCCCAGAGGGAGGAGCCACAGTCCACAGTCAAAAACCATGTGCCATAATCGAAAAGTCGTGACTCAAAGGCCCAAGCAGCAGCACACCAATGAAAATTCGGGAAAGGTACCAGGCCCTGACATTCGAAAGCAAACAGGCCATGGGGGTGTGGTACCGGAACCAGGTCAAGCGCCAAGAAGCAGAGGCTGGCACGAGTTGAAGCTTCGCCCAAGACAATATAAGGACCGGCCAGCCTCCTCAATCGGGAGATTGCTCATTCGCACGAGGTGTGGAAGTGCTGGTGCACTTGTGGGCTATTGTGAGGGGGCGGAGCGCTGAGCCAGAGAGTTGCGCGGTTACAGGGAGAGAGAGAGAGGGAGCAGCCATAGCTGCCCAGCGCTGGCAGAGGGAAGGCAGCCATAGCTGCGCCAGTGCTAGTAGTCAGTAGAAGACTTCAGAAGGGTTAGTAGAGTTTGCGGTGGTTGTATTCAGAGTTGGTCCTTGAGTAGTAGGGAGTGTGAGTGCATGCAAATAGGGAGAGAAGATACAGGGAGGTAGTAGACAGTGAGAAGACCAAGAGAGAAGAGAGAAGAGTATCAGGAGAAATAGGCACCTGAGTAGAGATACTGGTTACTTGGGTTAGCGCTGTTGAGAGCTTGTGACTGGAACTCCTATTTGCTTATATGACAGGGCTGCACTGGCAACCGGCCGGTTGGACCGGACCAGATCCAGCCGGGCTGGTCAGACCCCCGATGGTCCAACCGGAAATCCGGTTGGGCCCAGAACCGGGTCAATTTTATTTTATTTTATTTTTTTGACAACGGGGTTGGACTGCACTTGTGTAGAGATCTCCCCGAATCCGCAGATATATTCATGATCTGAGAACTTTTTTCATGGGGTTAAGGGGGGGGGCTGGGGGTGGGGCGGGGGGGGAGTGGGGTGGTCGCTATTTCCCGCCCGCTGTTTTCTGAGAACTCTCTCTCTCTTGCGCGCGCGCGGGCGCACCTGTTTTGTGCGTGCCCGCTATTTCCCGCGCGCGCTCAGTGTTTTGTGCATGCCCGCTATTTCCCATGCGCGCCCGCTGTTTTCTGCACGCCCGTTATTTCCC